TCTTTGTCAGGTGATTCATAGTTCTCCATTTCTTTGGAGTCAGATATTGGAAAATTACAATTACTGTGTTCTTTCTTTTCTTTTTTGTGGCACTATGTTTTTTAACTCAAGGCCTTGTGCTTACTAGGTAAGAGCTCTACCACTTGAGCCTCTCCCCCAGCCCTTTTTGCTTTAGTTATTTTTCTGATAGAATCTAGTATCTAATGCTTTTTCTCCAGGCCAGCCTCAGACCACAATCCTCTGACCTATATCTCTCAGGTACCTGAGATTACAGATGTACACTTTCTCACCTAGCTTCTTTGTTGAAATGAGGTCTCACTAACTTTTTACCTGGGCTGGCCTCAAACTGCAATCCTCCTGATCTCCACCTCCCAAGTAGCTGGATTGCAGTTGTGAGTCACTGTGCCAGGTCTGTGTTCTTTTTAGGGTATTATATTTCCTTATTTTTTCATGTTTCTTGTTGCTTTGGGTTGATATATGTGCATTTGATGGAGCAGTCACCTCTTCCAGACTTTTGTGGACTTGCTTGGTGGGGAAAGACCCTTCCCTATCGGCGGATGTGAAGGTGTTGGTTCACGGGAAAGCAGTACTTCTGTCTCCAGTGAGGGTGCAGCAACATGGTCTCTGTAGCTCTGTCAGCTCAGGTCAACATTGATGAACACTGCAAGGATACTTAATGGGAAAGCTTTGGGGGGCAAGAGCTGTTGAAGTCTTTGATGGTAAAAACCTTTGGCATCTTTCTGAGCTCTTTATCTACCACCAGGGATGCTGTGGCTCAGGGCTAAGGAGATTCCTTTGGCACCAGTTTCAGATTCTGGGCATGCTTATCCTGATAGTAACATCAGTGTGTGGCACTCATGGTTGACTGTGGAGCCAGGGTATGAAGCACATCCTTGCATCTCTTTAAGGTATTAAGGCATCTCTGGGGGTCGACAGTCATGATGGCTGTTGGTCATCTCATTGGTGAAAGGTGCTGGAGTCTTCTGCAGATTGGGCCCCTGGGGACCACGGTCACATGGCACCTACCTGGATAATATTGACAACCCTCTCTCCTCTCTATTCCTTGCCATTGCTAGATGTCTCAGGTATGCTGATATTCTGAAAACACTTGCTGTGTGCTTTTCTTGCATGTTTTGAATCAATATGTTGCTGTAAGTTCTTAAATTAACCCATGATCCTTTTCAAGGCCATTTCCATACCTAAATATTTGTTGCTTTTCTTATGTGTATATGTGTGTTTGTGTAAGGAAGAAGGCTTGACTCTCCTGTTTCACTATCTTGCCAATGTCACTCCTTGTTTTTTGTCTTTTTTGGATGGATTTTTCTAATATTTAGGGATTGTTATCACAGAAGAAACATACAAAACAAATATTGCTAAAGAGTATCCCTGAGCAATTATAAATAACATTTTACAGGAAGGTTGTGTTCAATTTTCTCTGCAATTGTTTATCATGCTGAGCTTATTCTTTAAAGAGGTTGTACTTGCTATAAATGAGAAGTTAACCTGCACTGTGAAGATATTAGAGTTGAAAGTAAGATTATAAATGAGAATAAAACTCACAACACAAAATCTCTAGCAACTTTACTTCCACATATCAAATCTGTTATGATTTATAGATTTTGAAACTTCACGAGAAACCAATTAAAAAGCAAGGACTGTGTGTTTATGTGTAGGAGGTGAGAACTCCACTAGAAAGAGAAGATTTGGTCACATTTTGTTCTCTTTCTTGTGTAAAGTCAACTTTTATAGGCTTTCTAAAATTTCTTGTCTTCTGTGACTTTTTCCAACTTACAGAAAAGTCACTCAGTACTTTCTGGACATTTTGGCCCCACTGTGGACAACTGTGAAATTTCACTGATGGAGTTTTGCTTACCTTATTCATTAAATAAACATTTTAAAGCACTTTTCATAGTGTGGCTATTGTTCAAGCAGTATAAATACAAAGTAGGCACAATCTGATCTAAACTGGAGACAATTGGTAATATTTTTCTTTAAAATATCACCACTTAGACTGAGATTTGGTTTTTCAGAGGTTTTAGAAGACAAATACTGTTGCTAATTGTCTCTAAACATTTTCTTACAAAATAGTTTATTTGTGAAAGATAAACTTCACTACATTCCATATGAAACAGCTCCCTTGGAATTTTTTAAAATTATTGAGCACCCACTATGTTCTAGGTGCTAAGGGCTTCAGAGATAAAAATAAAGGGGTTGAATAGACCAAAGTAAAGTATACTCACAGTGGGGATACATGGAGAAACTCCTTTGAACACTGACTCAGAAATTAGTAACGAAAGACAGGACTGTAAAACAAGTACAGAGTGGGGGTACTTAGGGGAGGGAGGTGAACAATAGAGAGTAAGGTGAGGGAATATGGTTGATGGACTTCATCTACAAAACAAAATAATGAAAATAATTTGAAAAATATAAATTATTGAGCTCTCATTTTGTGCTAGGTGCTAAGGATTTCAGGGGAAAAATAAGCCAAGGTCCTTGTCTTCATTAAGCTAGCATTTTTTTTGGTAGATTCTTTAAAACATGACTAAATTATAGAACATAGAAACCTAGAATTAAAATCTAGATTCCTCCTTTCAAAAACTTATTAACACCAATCATACACATTTGCAATATTTGTGTTTGTACACAGCAGAATCCTCTGTCAGTAAAATAAAACTATTGTCTGTAAAAGACTGTCATTGCTAGAAATTAAATAATAATATTAACATGTTGAATAAAATATATATTAAATCCTACTGCTAGATTTTTTTAACTCAGATTAAAAAAAAATCTAAGAGCTGAACAATACATTAGTGAAACTTCACAGTTTCATTCGGTATGTAATCTCTTTTTTGGGAGAAAGTCTTGTGACGTAACCAAGATTGGCCTAGAACTCGTCATCCTGCCTTTGACTCACAAGTGTTTCAAAATGTAATTTCTCTCTATGAAAACCACAATTTAGCCCTGAACTTTAAATTCAAACACATAAAAAATATATTTACTGAGACTAAAAACCACAACTCAATATTCAGACTAAAATACTCTATATTTAGGTTTCAGAATCAATCATTAACTCTTAAGGTGAATTAAGAAACATCAAAAACAGTCCCTTATCAGAATGCTTGGTGTCTAAAGAAAAAAGTTCATTTTTGCTTTTAAAATCACTGGATTCTAAAAGGCATGAGAAAATAGAAATAGAGATGAAAATCTCAACTTCAGAGCAATGGAACCTCAAACACATTCAGACTAACTTACTCTTTCCTCCCAGCTGGCATACTTAGGCCTGGGTTCATCACCCTATTATTGAGTCAGAGACAGCTGTTTAAAGATACATATGAGCATTAAATTATATTTCAAAGCTGGAAAGGACCTTAATTTATATGGTTTAGTTTCTCATTGTTAGGATAAACCTAAGGTCCACAGAAAAGAAGTAGCTTATCTAAGGTGACCCCTTTGGTAAGAAGTGGAAAACTGAATCGGGTGCTGGTGGCTCACGCCTATAATCCTAGCTACTCAGGAAGCAGAGATCAGGAGGATCAAGGTTCCAAGCCAGCCTGGGCAAATAGTTTGTGAGATTCTATCTCAAAAAAACCCATCACAAAAAAGGGCTGGTGGAGTGACTCAATGTGTAGGTTCTGAGTTCAAACATACTTCCAAAAAAAAAAAAAAGAAGTAAAAGACTGACCATCAGAAGTCGGGGTTCCTCAAACTCAATGTGCTCAGTAGATCTATCTTTGAATAAAATAACATTTAAAAAAGAATAGCCTACAGTACTTAAAAATTCAGGTCTCTGGGCTCTATCTACACAGATTCTAATTGGGCAGAGCTGGAAGAGTACCTAGGATTTACTGTTGATGCTACAGCTGATCTGAGAACTGCACTTGAAGAAGCACTATGCAAATCCCTTAGGACTCAACTATTTTCAAAATAAAATGTAAATTAATATAAGAATATCAAATCATAGCTGAAGACATTGAACGTGCAACCCATTGCACCTGAGATATTCCTGCATTCATGTAGAATGCAATCAACAAAACCAAAGCATGACTTTATCACAAAGAGACTCTGCAAATGGGCTGAAACACACATAAATCTCTGATTTTTTTCTTCATGTCACAAAATAATCCAGTCAATGTATTTCTAAGACAATGAGAGGAAATTTTATTTTAAGAAGCATTGGAAACTGTAAATTTTTATAACTACTAATATTTTCCAACATAAATAATATTCTTTTGTAGTGGATTTACTTTTAGAAACTTATTTATTCAGTGATTATTTACTGAATATGTACCAATTACATCTGTTGTTAAACATCTGCCAAAATAATAATCTTCAAAATGTTCCCAAAATAGACTTAACAAGTAATCAGAAAATGACATTGGAAGTTGTAGGGACCAGGTGTGGAATATCTTACACAGCGGTACTTATATTAAAATAAAATATGTGAAATATTTAATACTATAAAACTTTAATGTCTGTAGCTATTTTAATGGCCTCCAAATTAAATGAGATTTATATAGTCAGAGTAACAAAGAAGTAATTGGAATTATAGTTAGTGCAAATAGAAACTGAACTTTGTAGATTAAGATTTATGTTAAAACAAATGATTCAATTCTAATGAGTCATGCTTTTACATTTAGTATCTATACTGTTAGGAGTTCTTTAAGGCAAACAACATAAGCATAAGTGAAGCTTAATATAGATGTTCACAAGCTTTAATTAGCCTTGAAGAAATGTGAGATATTACTGTTGTAACTAAATTGAAAGTATGAGATTATTGTCTTTAAATCAAGGGTGACTCTAAAAGGCCCACCACTATGCTTTGGGGGTATATATCTATATACTGTCACTTCCAATTATTTTTATGTATTGAGTGACCCCCCCATTTTATTCCAAAAAGGGTTTAAAGCTGATATTTCAATTTGAGATTCTCTTTGCAGATAGAAGTAGTTGAATTTCTATGAGATAATTCTCAGTTGACAGACCAAGTTCTGGTGATGACATCACTTTATTTTCTGGAGGGCACTGCAAAGGATTCCAACTTCACCTACAAAGAAGAACATCATTCAAATGGACCACTCATATAATAAGCAAACACCTCAGGTACAAAGTCCTGTGGGAATCAGTGGGATGCATGGATAATATAGATGTTACCCCAAACTTCATGGAGCTTATAACTTAGTTATAAAGATAGGGTTGGGGCAGATGGTACTGTGTTTTAGGAAGTGCTAGAGTTATTACAGTAATTAGCTTCCTTTTTCCATAGGCTGTTTCCCAGAGAAGGACTTAACACATTTCTCTAGGAAATAGGTTTCTCAGGCAAGTCTCTAGCTGCTCTGTTTCTTTTTTAAATGGGCAGTCATAGAAGCTTACATCAGTAAAACATAAAAGCATGGTTCATTCAAATCTCCTATGCCAAAATCACCTGAGGTATTATTACCAATACAAACTACCAAGACTCAGCACAAATTTAGTAAATTTAGTGTAAGTCTATCATTCTGGACTATTAATTTTTACCAGTTCTCCAAGTGATTCTGATGCACAGTACTTTGCGAATGCATGGTCTAAGCAGATAACTCAGCCAAGATTGTAAGACTCCTGGACTCAGGTGTCATGCATTCACTTCCATTTATGGCATGTTCTCATACATCAAAGGGCCCCATGAGGACAGACTCTTCAAAGAAGTGGAAGAGACCTTGGAGATTGACAACGCTCATTCCTTCTTGATCATGAAGAAATGAAAGTGTAAAGAGATAAGGAAGCTTCACATAAAGTCACAGCTCCAAGATCCCTTTAGTTCTTAAATTTGTTATTCTGTGCTCTTCAAAACAATAACCTATGGAGTTATTTTTGTCTTTTCAGATAAAATGAGAGGGAAAATCAGATATGGCCTCATCCTGTCTTATGTTCAAGCCTTTAAGGCATGTGGATGGCCTCTTCAGGGAACAAACACATCTTCTCTAGGTGAGGGTCTAAGATAAAGTCTATGTAGGTAGATAAGCTTTGGGATTTTTCAAAATGGCAGATCATAAGTCACCATACTTAATATGAAATGATTATAATGATCAGCCCTGTTCTATGTATCAGAGGATGGCACAGACTATGCTGGGGGGACTTTACAGGAACACTTCAAGCCCACCTACCCTGTTGGACTCCATTGGTATTACACAAGGCAAGGACTTCTACCTGGCTCAGAATTCTCCCCTGGAGGTTCTCCCTTTTGGTAAATTTATCCATTCATTCAATACCTCATGAGTAATGTAGTTCTTACGAACAGGGCTCAGTACTGGGGAATTGATAGTGAATCTGACATGACAAGAAACAATTATAATATGATGAAACCTCTGTGAGACAGATTTACAAGAATGTAAAGACATGGGAAGGACATCCAAACCAGTCTTTCTATAAGAAGAGTTGTCTGTTCAAGACTTTAAAGATGAATTGACTTTGGGCATCTCTAGAAAGGCCTGGGAAGAATATTTTAAACTGAAAGAACTGCATGTGCAGAGACCAGGAGCCTGTGGAGGGCATGAGATGTAGGGGTTTTCAGTGTTACTGGAGAACAATTTCAAGGGCTAAAGAAAGAATTGTGTGTGAACAATCTAACTCTGTGATTTTTAAAGGAAAATAATATAATATTCATCAATAAGGAAGAGTAGGAGGCCAATAGATGATCTACTGGATGGCTGATAAGTAGATAAAACCTGGCTCTTAGGAAAATGAATATTTTCATACCAGGCAAAGTGGTATCAACTGACACTAAGAAGAAAAGGTATAGAAAGAGAAAGAGCAAAGGGAAACCTGAGAGTGGCAAACCAGGTGTAGAAAGGTGGTATAGTGGTAGGAGATGAGATTGAATCTCAGATGGTCAAAGGAGAAAGAACACTGAAGGCAATTCTGACCTTTTTACTCAGTTCTTCTTCCCCATTGAACCTCTGGCTTATGTGAGAAAGCTTTCCCTTTAGTTCAATATTTAATAATTTTTTTATTGTTCCTATAGCAAAGGTAAGAAAACCCCTCTATTTCTGAGAAAGAGAGTGACCTCACAGGGAGTAAGCTACTTACTGTTGATGGAGTCAGCCAAAATCTTCAGCTGCTGGGTACTGCCCAAGACTTCAACCCTCTGGGTGTATGGGTCATAGTGAATTGAGAAGGGTCGAGGAATTGTGGCAGCAAAGTTTCTGAAACCAAAATCAAGGGCCTGAGTGAAGAGCACCATTTGGAGAAAAGTAACTCTAAAAGGTTTCTCAGTGGCATTTCACTTCACTGCTAACCTGCAGGTGCTTTCAAAGCCAGGGCTGAAAAGTGAATGGAGTTTTAATAAGATTTTCTTGGAGAGTCTTTGTGTGTGTCTATGTGTATATACATATACACATATGAACAGAGTCAGACACCTAGCTCCAAAAATACAGAAGTAGCTTACAATAAAAGCACAGAATACAATAAGATCAAAAAAGAAATCAAATCTAGCCAAAATATGCTGCAGGAAAAAAGAAATCTAGGATACTTAACAATCAATGCAAAGAAGAAAAAACAGCTCTCAAGAGTACAATAAAACTATGCTAATAATGAAATTTAACATGGACTAAGTGTCTCCTATTTACCAAGAGTCATGTTAAATCCTAATTGTTCTCAACTTCCTGATTTAATCTTCACAAAAACCTTAGGAAATAAATACTATTGTTATTCCCATCTTATAGGTGAGGAAGCTAGGGCCCATGACTATGAAGGGTATTACTGTCAGAAAGTTGTAAAACTGGGCATAAACCCCAGCAGCATGATTCTGGACTGTGTGCTTTGTTTTGTTGGCCTTCCCCATGCATTATTTGTGGCTCTAGGCAGAATCGCCCATGAGGGCTTTTATGAGGAACATCAAACAATATAATTAATAGGATATTCCAAAGACATCAAAACATTATTTCTAAGCTAGCCCCGGGTGAAAAGTAGAAGCTGCTGTAGTAAAAAGACAATTATCAGTAACACATGCCAAAGTTTGGCAACAGTAGTATCTCAAGTTCCCAAATCAAGATGCCTTGCCAGTTACGGCCCTTGTGGTCATGAGCAAAGGACTCCACTTCTCTGGGCCTCAGTTTCTTCATTTCTCTCCAAAAGTATGGACATTAATAGTCCTTACCTCAGAAGGGTATGTTATAGTATGGAGTAAGTGCTCCATGAGGTTAACTGTTGTTTTTATTAGTGGTTGGAGACTCATGACAAACAAATAATTAAGTATATCTCTCTACCTTCCCTTCTCTGAAAGGAGCTTTCTCAGCCCAGCTGGTGACATGAGCCAAGTGATACACATCTGTGATTTTACTAGTTCTATGTCTCTTCCCTTTTCCTCCCAAAGAACACCTCATTTTTGCTTTAGAAAATCTCCCTCTACCCCACTGGATGTATCTCAGTTGGGCTGTCAGTCTCAGGACCCAGCCATCCTCAGGCCAGGAGATAGTGTGGGATCTAAGTTTGGCCAATCAGATCTCTGCTTAGAATTAGAACTTTGAAACTGAAGACAAAGTTGACTTCTCTTGGTAGGGATGCTCTGAGGGAATCCTCAGGGACCTACTTCATTGTTTTGAACCTTTTTCTTCAGGATTCTCTTTTACCCTGTGAGCCTCTTGTCAGCAGGATAAAGCTTTTATGGTATCTCCCCTTGGCCCTGGGCACCAGTAGAACAACTGGTACTTCAAAAGCTTGACAGGACTGTGTCCTAGCAAGTTCTTCCCTGCTAGTCTGGTACTGATCACTGGCTGGATAGGGAATCGTCTCTAGAAGGGACAATCTAAATGTGATCTCAGCAGGACAGGGCACTTATGAGCACCAAGCTCTCCTGGGGATGTCCAAATCCTGGGCCAAAAACTTATACTTGGTGAGTTACTTAACTCCCACCCCATGCTTCTGTACCCCTATCTGTAAACATTATAGTTTTATTTTAAGAGTAAACAATGAACACATGGAAATCATTTCAAACAGTCCTTGGCACATAATAGGTGCTTGTCATGTAATACTATTATTTTATTATTGTTGTTTTTATTATTATTAATTACCCCTGTGAATAATGCACTAATGGTACTAAAATCCATAATTCTAAATGGGTCCTAGGAATATGGTGGAAACTTTGGAGGGTGGGGTGGGAGAAGGCAAAGTTCCCAGAGTGGGGTGAAGGACTAGGAAAGAAGTAAAAAGGTAGAACAGGAAGCCAAGAGCCCTGGAGAGAGAAGGAGAAAGGAATTCAATTTAGGCCAAACCAAAGGGACTTGTGGGCCAGCATGTTACCTTAAACTAATTGAGTCAAGTGCATTGAAACCTGACATACCCAGGGCCTCCATGTCCTATGTTTATCATCCATAATAGACGAGCTATTTTTGAAAAGTGGTAGCAGTGAGTATCAGGACATCCATATCCTAGTAGAACCTCTGTCTGCCTATCTCCTGTTTGGACAAGAGTCTGATTCAGGAATTGCAAGGGCACATGCAGGTCGATCAGATCAAAGAGCTGAGAATCCCAGAGTCCTGACACCACTGTGTTCGTCTCTTGCTGAGCCACCTCTGAGACTGGTGCCTCCAACAATTATTTATTGAGGGCTTACTCTGTGTCAGGTACTGTTCTAGGGGAACAGTAAGGACAAAAATCCCTACCCTTAATAAACTCAAATTATATAAAATATTAGAAGTTAATAAGTGCTAAGGAGAAAAATAAATCACAGAAGAGCTGATGGCAGGGATGGGTGAAGATTTTAAATATAGTCACATACCACATAACCACATTTTGGCCAATGATGGACCACATATACGATAGTATTCCCATAAGATTATGATGGAACTGAAAAATTACTATTCCAAGTGACACTGTAGCCCTTGTACTGTCATTGTGCAACACATCATTTATGTGCTTATGTTGATGCTCTTGTCAAAAACCTAATATCCTGCCACTCATACAAAAGTATAGTACATACAATTATGTAGTGTAGAAGACTTGATAATGATAATAAATGACTATCATCTGTATTTACTGTATTATACCTTTTCATGATTTTTAGTGTTTTCATTCTATTATCAAAGCAGAAATGTTACTGTAAAGCAATAGGCTGTGTTAGGCAGTCAGCAGCCTCATACATCTCATGTTTATCAGGTCTCATTTTCTCTTGTGCTTCATTTAATCATGTGTTGTTTTGTCATCATGGCCTTAGGATCAACAGGTTATACCATATTTGCACCAAATGGTGAAGTGTGTGGTAGGCTACCCCACTAGATTTGCATATGTATATTCATATGTTCACACAATGTCCAAGTCACCTAATGACAAATTTCTCAGGCATATCCCTGTCATTAAGCAATGCATGACTGTATGTTGGCTACAAAAAGACATAGAAAAGATCAAATTTGGGTGAAAATATAAAAGAGATGATGAAGCAAGTTATTTAGGTGTCTGAGAGAATAAAGTGATGCAAGTACTTCTAGAGTTTGAAAGACTTCTCTGACTGATTTGGTGTCAGGGAACCCTTGAGGTCACTCTGCACACAGGGGAACTCAGAGACCAGATGGCAGGACTGTCTGCAGGGGTTAGCATGTCAGCCTCCCCACAGAGACTAGGAAAGGACGAGGGTGGCAAAGGTAGGGGGATAAGCACTATCTGCTGCACAAGGTTGCCATGGGCACTAGAATTTAGTGTTTTGGCCCCAAATCCACAGATCAGCATCACTAGCCTGAGTCAGGATACCTACAGAGCTGAAATCCCACCTTGGTACCACCTTACCTCACTTTCTCCTTGGCATCACTGAAACTCTCAGCCACATAGTACAAGGGTTGGAACTCTGTGACGCTGTACTCTTGGGTGGCTGTCTTCTCCAGATCCAGGGGCAGGAGCTTTGGTTTGTCTGACAAGCAGTACTGTAGGCACCCACAAAAGTTTTCCAATAAATCATGCTCAGTGATCATCCCACAAACCATCCACATAGCTGCTCTCATCTCACCCTGGTTCCTTCCACACCCAAGCCCAAACACAGTAAACTAAGTTATTTTATACATACTAAACTCAACCCTTCATAGCTCATCTTCATGAAGCCTACAGTCCAGATAGAAAATGATAATGCATTCCAATCATTTTCAAGTAAGATGATTGGCAGACTCTGTGGGAGCAAACCACATTTTCTGGCCTGTGTATAAGACTATATGCACAGGTCTACCTTGGGATCAGGAGGTCCCTCCTCCCTATATCCCTGTATATTGTATTTGAATTTCTACCTCTAACACCACAGCTGTAATCAAATCATAGCTGCTAAGGTACCAATTGTTGGAGGATGAGCCCCTAGCTTATATCTCAAAATGTATGCATCTGAGATTTCAGCATTACCAAGAGAATGAGGCTGGTCTTCTGAACCTACCGCTTTTTAATGCCATCATTTGTTTCTGTTAGGACCATACCTGTAATTCACCAAAGGATGACAGGAGCCCAGCACCATATGCCTTTATGGAGTCTCCTTGTTTACAGAGCCCAAACTCCACAGTGAACCAGTAAATCTGAAATAGAAAGACAAGCTGAGGGCATACCCCAAGGAAGGGAAAGGCAGCAGATACCTGAGGATCAAGGACAGGACTCCCCAGATGCAGTCTGTGCAGATCTGCTCTCTGAATCAATGTGACCTTGGGTCATTTCTCTGTGTCTTGTGTCTCACCCTATTCAGTCACCTGTTTAATCAAAAATGGTGGAATCCAAGGTATGATGGAAAGCCCTGCAGGGTACTAAAGAAGTCCCCCCAAAAATACTCCCAACATATTCCTCTGTTTATAATGGAAATTCTATTCCTTTTGCTTTTTCCTCTGTAAGATAAACTAGAGTGATATATTTATTCCTAAGCTGTTTTAAACTGTATTCAGATAACTCCATCAGGCACAGCAGTGGGAGGGGTTTAGGTAGCGATAGAACCAGTGAGGGGCACATCCCATCCTCCATGCTAAAGCTTGAGATTTGCTGAAGTCACTACACTGTCTCCTCAAATAACCAAGTCCTTTTCTTTCAACAGCTCCCAGTCCAACATGTCATAGGTATCCTGGCATTGTGAGACCAAGAGGAACCCAGGGTTCAGTTAGCTGCTGGGACAACCTTAGAGAAGTATAGGTGGGTTAACTACTAAGTCCGGTTGGGGAACTAGAAATTTTAAAGCTGGGAGGCTATTGAAGATCAATTGACTTGTCCTCCTCACACACACATGAAAGGTCTTCAGCCCAGGCAGGTAAGGCAAAATGCTTATAATGACACAGTAAATTAAAGGCAGAGAAAGAATTTAAGACTGCTTCTAGCCCAGTGTTATTATTGGTAATACGATTTTTAAGAAGTTAGGCTAATGATGGGTGTACTTATCATTGCTATGGTAGCTAACATGATGTTCTGAGTTCCAAGTTCATTTATTTCTAGAGTTGGGAAATTCTATCCAGCTTTTCAGTCTCCTTAAAAGCTGGGTTTTGCACCTCTGCCACAACTGACATTTAAAAATTCATGCGACACAAATTTGACTCTTTAGAATCTTGTTATATCCTTTTGAGATGAACAGAATATAAACTATTGTGTCCATTTTTAGAGATGAGGAAACAAAAGACACTTGTCTAGAGTCTCAGAGCAGATGGCTGGTGAGAAAAGACCTGGAAATATTTAGCCTTTCTGATGAACTCAATTCATAAACTTGCAAACTGATGTAACTTCATGATAGATTTTCATTCATTTGTGGTCCCTAATTCCAAAATAAATTTTATTTTTTCTAACTTATTAGAAATATGGCTCAGCACCTGGGGAGGGATGTGCTGAAATTGGAAAAAGGCATGAAGAATGCTATGCACATTTTCTGCTTCCATAGCTTGAACAGATGAGTGTTCTCAGAGTCACGTGACAGAGGGAAGTGTTTGACAAAAATGAAAAGCCCAGTCCCATTTCTACTTTGTGTCTGAAAAAGGAAAGATGCTAATGCTGACTAGTGCAAAGGCAGAGATGTGATTAGTTCCTTTTCAAAGCTGTGAATCCATTCTACTTCATAACACACTTTATACCAACAGATTTCCAGGGCTACTGGTGTTTGCAAGAACACTTAGTTTTAAATTATGTGCAAACATCTTCATGTGACTGACTTAAAGATCACCCTATTAAAGAGAAATCAAAATGCAATGTGTCATTTGTACAAATGTAAACTGCCACATTCTGATTATTCTTCCAAATGGCATGACTTCTAGGGAAATGTCAAATCTTCAAAGACTTGAGGGCCATCGCCCTTAGAGCTCCTGCCATCTCTCCAGGGAGAAAAGAGACTTACCGTGGCAAGTTTCTCAATGTACTCATCAGGTGCTCCCAGAGAGGCGAGGCCAATTTCCTGCATGTGGAGAAGGATAGTCACTAGCACAGCCCATTTCTAAACCGTACCCTCAGCATTAACCTGGTACTTGACCAAGGAAGGTGATGAGTGCCCGGATGTCTTCAGTGGGCCCAGATAGGTCCTTAGTGTTCTTTCAAGTCTTCCCTGGCCACACATCACAGATCTCTAAATCAGGGGAAACCTGTCTTGACTCCCTTGAGTATTACAAATGAAGAAACTGACAAGAGAGGTGACTATCATGGTCACACAGTTGGTTAGTATCTAAAGCATCATTTCTTGACTCCAACCCAGTGATTATTCTCCCACAGCACAGTGGAACATTCCTGGACTATGGGATGAGTCTTAATCATGTACCTTGAAAATACCAGAGGAGAACTGTGGAGAAGTGGTTGACATTCTTTGACATATACACAGTCAAAGTCCCAACAGCCAGATTCCTCTAGTGGTTTGTCTGTTACAGCATATGTTCCAGCATGCTGTGTGTGTGTGTGTGTGTGTGTGTGTGTGTGTGTGTTTTTTACAACTACATTCATTCATTCTAAAAATATTATTGAATGCCTTCTCTGTGTCAGGTAATACACAAAATTGATAAAGATCCTTGGCTTGTGGTTTATAGTAGAGACAGACAATAAATAATAAGTATATACATATCTATGAAGGTGGCAAGTTCTTTGGAAAGAAGAAATAGAAGGAGAAAGGGACAAGGAGCACTTTGAATTCTAGGGAATCTGGAGAAAGCTGCAATATTAAATAAAGTTCCCTGGTAAGCATCATTGAAAAGGTGATATTTGGCAGGGACTTGAGTGAGGTTGTTGGTTCTACTCACGTCTGAGGGAAGCACACTATAGACCAAGCCTACAGTGCAAAAGCTCCCTAAGGAAAGGAAACATAGTTTGGTTTGATGAACAGAGAGGGACTTGTCTGACTGGAGCAGAGGAAGTGACGGGAAGTGTAGGTGATATCAAAGAGAGATCCTGACAGCAACCATGTAAGTCCTTTTTGGACTTCTTAGGAGTTGGATTTTTCCTTTCAGTGAAGTAGGAAGTCATTCCAGGACTTTGATCATAGAAGGGAACAAGATCTAATTTATGTCATCAAAGACTCATTCTGACTGCTGTGTGAGAATAGACTGGGGGGGTGTTGTTCAAGGGTAGACATAGAGAAAAGAGGTGTCCTGGAAACCCCCATTCCAGAGCCAGAGAGGTGCTTTCATGCAGTGGGAAGCAATTCTTGGATTTATATAAAAAATAAGTGTTCTCAGAAAACTTTCTTTTTGGCAGTACTGGGGTTTGAGTTCAGGGCTTCATGCTTGTTAGGCAGGTGCTCTACCACTTGGACCACACCCCCAGCCCTCAGAAAACCTTTTTAAATGACTCTTTGCCTTAGGACTGTCCAGATCAATGTTGGAACCATATCACACTGAGAGTCCCCTAGTTTCTATCTGTTGACTTCAATTATCCACTCCTCTCTGGCATTCTCCAAAATGCAAATGGCTTAAGAAGAATTGCCACTTCATCTATAACTGAACAGAATAACTTCTCTTGGTAAAAACAAAAAAAGCCTATTCTCTGTGGAGAAAACTGAAAATTCTCTGGTCACAACAATAAGTCCCTGTTTTAAACTCATCCTGAGTAATCGAGGCCATCTTGGTTCTACATGAAGAATGAGGAGGAAGACAGGAATGAGCTGTAACTACACCATCAGTGATGATGCTTCCACAGTTAAAGTTCAACTAATCCCTAAACACTCCCACTTCTAAAAGTCCAACAGTCTCTGAGCTCCATAATTCCTAAAACCTCACATGGTACTTTTCTTGGTTTAGAGAGTCTGTGTCTTACAATTGCAGTTCTCCCTTACTTAGAAATGAGTTTATCTTTTTGTTTGACTTGTTTCTTTCAAACATGAATTGGCAGCCTTTTCATTCAACAGTGGAAATATTCTTTCCAAGTGATGGAAAATGCTTGTAAGAGTCACCCACAATGAATCTGGAATGTGTACTTTCTCAGCAGTTACTCATGGGTTATCCATTTGGTTGTTAGTCTTCCTTGTGAAGAACAAAATTAGTAGGGAAGGCTCCTTACTGCTTCATTCTTGTATAAACAGAGGTATAGGGTGGCCTGGAAACTTGCCCTAGATTACACAGCGACAGAGTTGGGGACTATAGGTACATCAGAGCCATAACCCAATCGTCTAGGATCCCAACTGCCCAACCAGGTTTTTTAGGTGGCCTCTCATTGCCTGAAGAGAATTAGAAGATTGTTTTAACTCATTCAAGAGAATTTTTTAAATGTTGTTCACTACTGTAAAACATGAATCAAGGTCTAGATTGCTGCTTTGATGCTGGTGATGAGAAATTTGTCTCTTCTTATGTTTGTTTATTTATTTATTTATTTTGTCAAGTACAAGTCAGATCATTGGCATTGAATTCATAGCAAAAATTCTCCCACCTAATTCAAGAAAATGCACAAACAAATGCCTAACAACATAGTAAGTGTCAAAGTCTCTAAAGAGAGCAGGGGATAGAAGTACCAGAAGAACTTGGAAGAAGGTGAGGTGACTTTTTCATAGATGAAAAGGCACTTAAAGTACATGTGGTAGGATAAGTGAAATTAACAGTAAGCAAGACCCCAAGCTGTGCTACTATTCTTAGATGGGATCATAGAATTGAACCTGGTTTCCATTCTTGCAGAGGATATAAGGGCCCCTCTGTAGACTCAACTCGTTCAAACAATCCAGTGCAAGCCCTTATAACCAAGGCTACAAAGATCCATTCCTTACCTGTGAAAACTGAGCAAAGCTACGATCTGAAAACAAGGGCACATGTCCCAACAGCTCATGGCAGATGTCACTGAAAGAAAGAAAGTACAAAGCTTGGAGGGGTGGTGGTTAAAACAGGCCAGACTCAGTCTTTCTACATGAAGAATGAGGAGGAAGACAGGAAGTAACACATTTAGGCTTATGACTTCATTCTTAAGAATAAGTGATATGCAGAGCATGAAATCAATTGAGACAATGTAAAAGAGAAAATGAAGAAGGGGGAAAAAAACAAAGGACAGGCAGAGGGAAGGACACAGAAGCCAAGGGTCCTGTCCTATTTGGAAGTTCATAGCTCTGACTTTGGAACTTGAATGGGAGGGACCTTTCATTCCCACTGCTCAGGGTGATCTGAATCCTTGGTTCACAGGATGTCCAAATGTGTGTCCAAATTTGGTCTATTTGGACAGAGAAAATCCCAGAATAGATGAATTTCACTTTTAGTACTACCATTAAATAATCCAGGCAACTAGTCTTGTGAATCAGTCTGCAATAAAACCAACTTCATACTTAGAGCAAGAAGTATGAAGTATGACTGGCAACTGGTACCTGGAGGACATTACTCACGGTTCAGGTGTATACATGGGCTTGGATCCATGTCTGATGTACTGTGTGCAATGAAAGACTCGAAAGGCCAGGCCACCCAAGAAATCTCGAGAAGACAGCAAACCAGCCACAGGTCGGAGGCGGAAACCTGTACAAGCTGGGAAGCAAAGAAGAACAAAAACTCAAAGCCCATTGTGGCAGAGCCAAGAGGATGTAAGGACCTTTAGGTAGGAAAGCAGTACATACAAATGCCCAGTAGTGTGGTCTATGACTTGCTTTCAAATCTCTACTTTCTAGTTGGCTGATTTGGGTCAGGTAAACTCGCATGTCTGAGCCTTAGTTTTCTCATCAGGAAAACATAGATAGATACTACTTAGGAATATTCCGAACATCAAAGGAGTGATGATGATAAAATATTCATCACATAACTTAGTTCATTGGAATGACCAGTAAACTTCCCTTTCATGATTGTTTGTTTGGATAAAACACTTGTTAACTACTTTTCATGTTTTCAGAATGGGAGGAAATTTTTCACTACAATTCCTACGGGAAGAGTATGGAAGGAGCACTTGCAGCTTCTCTACCGTACGCCATGTCCACACCATGAGGAGCGGGGGAAGAGGAAAGGCACATTCTCAACTTAACCCTTCTTCTATTGCTCCTTCTCTCTTGACTACCCCCAGAGGAGCATATTCTGACCTGTTCTTGACTGTGCGCTATGAATTGGCCAGTAAGTTTCCCTTCATCAAGGGAAAAAGTATTGGGAAGTCCACTTTGACCATACATCTATCTATACCAAATTCCCTAAGTAGCTTTCCCTTAAAGCTAACATTTTGATCACCATCTCTATGGTCTCTACATTGGTCTCTGGATTTTTTCTGAACTTAGAAGAATAATGACAGCAATAATGAAAAAAAAAATCTAACACTATGTATTGCCTACCATATGTCAGACGCTATTCTAAGTATTTTACATGTGCTAACTGATCCTTGCAATAACTCTGGGAGGCAGATGGGGAAGCTGATCCACAGAGAAGTTAAAGCTCTAGCACAAGATCATAGACCATGGGCAGTCTGACTTTAGAGTCTGTTTTCTTAGTTATAATTATATAACTCCCCAACTGCTAGTCTTGCTGTTTTACTATTCTTATTATTAGCTATAGCATCAGAAGTAATTAGCTAAGAAAGTCTTTGGGACCTCCTTGTCCCTTGCCTCATGCTCTCTGCATCTTCAGGCCAAAGCCTACTCTGTGTGGACTCTTGCTCTTCTCTTTATCTCAGAAATAAAGATTCTCAAAAGAGAAGGAACCCAAAAGGTAATCTAGCTCAATCCATTCCAGTTACAAATTCCATCCCTGCCATCTGGATTCCTGGGTCTTTGTCCCAGAGTTGTCCTCACTGCAAGGCTCTGATGCACAGAAAAGTCTTCATTTTTGTAAACCTGTGATCTGTCTCCCTACTTTTCCTCATTCTACCCAGCACATAGTAGGTGCTCTTTTTTTTTTTTTTAAGGTACTGGGGCTTGAACTCAGGGCCTACATCTTGAGCCACTCACCAGCCCTTTTTGTCTTATGTATCTTTGAAATAGGATCTTGCAAACTATTTGCCTGGGCTGGCTTCGAACCACGATCCTCCTGATCTCTGCCTTCAGAGTAGCTAGCACAGGAGGTGTTGAACATGTATTAATTGCTTATTTTGTTTTGCCTTTCCTGAATTAACACTTTCTTGTCAGAAAGAAAAACACCTATCTCTCTTGGAAGTGAGGTACAGAGGCCCAGCACCCAGGTAATGTATTTACCCACGTAGCTATTCTGACTGCAATTCAGTCCCAATTCTCTGAGCAATGACTATAGGTGCAGCACTGTGCTCAATGCTTTCATGTGCAAATGTCTTATTTCATTCTCACAATTTTCTCACAATCTCCATTTGACAGATGACAACACTGAGTCAAGTTTTCCCAATCAAAGAAGGTCAAAGGCAGGACACGTACCAGATCCATAAACTCAGAGGTCAGGGCTCCGGACACTGCCCCACAAAGGGTGCATTCTTTACACAAATTCACATCATAGCCATCTCAGAACAGTGAGAGCTGTAAGAGAATCCTGACTGGGCACCCTGGACTTTGAGAATAGAAGAAAATACTTTTCAAGCATGGGTGTGTGGCCAAATCCATGACTGATGCCCTTGCTTGGGTTCCTGTAGACTAACAATGGAGGTGAGAGGGAAGACAAGGTATAGTGCAATTCAGCTCTTCTTAGGAGACAGCCTACATGTATTACCACAAGCACACCACTCACACTCACCTCCCTGTACTTTCCTCTCCTTCCCTCTCCTCTCCCCCAACCCTCCCCACTCCCTGCAGGGTCTTGACCCTGGTGTGGACTTACTCTGCAGGAACTGTGAAACATCTTCCAGCTGGGGAATGTTATCTTCACTGAAGCCACAGTACTTTTCCAGAAGTGGAAAAATGTGATTGTGCTCATAGCAAGCGTGGGTTTTATACAAGGACTTCAGGGTCCTGAACACCGTCCCCCATGTCTTCTTCTCGTCCTCTGTATATTCCACCCGAGGGATGGGCTGCCCACTAGAACACAGGATGAAATAGTTGTCTCCAGTGGGGCAGGAACTGAGCACCCAACACAGTGAGGTGCAAAGAGGGAATGGGCACCAGTATTTGTGAGCTGTAACCACTAAGAAGAATGTTATTTGAAAGAGGAAAATTCGACTTCCGGATACAAGAAGCTCAGTTGTTTTAGTTGCCACATGAGAGACAGATTTAGTTAATCAAACATGCAAGCTCTCACCTCACCCAGCTGCACTGAGGATTTGCTCCCTCTCTGGTAAACCATGTGGCCTTCCTGCTCTTTGAGTACTCCAATCAGTAACCCAGGGTAGAAACTCATTTAAGGGGCCAGGTGAGAAACACACAAGTACAGTAAGAAGAATGGGGCCTGAGACAATGGAAGGATGCATCCTCTTTCTCCATGAAGACATCCAAGTTCAGTGAAAGCAGCATAGTGTCTTGTGTTATGTCCACTTAAGCAATTAACTGTGGGCTAAGCTTGATTTAATAAGTGGGCCATGAGTTTAGAACTCCCTTGTTTATTGGGTGTCCACTTGCTGGATTTGATGTTTCTGTGTCTGGGAAATTATGAAGGTATTTAAACACATGCTAAGTTTCCACAATATGTATATGCATGTTTGTGTGTGTGTGTGTATATATATATATATATATATATATATACATGATATACATATATATCAAGACATCATGTTTGTATACCATAAATATATTTTGTACTTGTCAAAGAATTTCTAGGTCAAAGGTAAAAAATTATGAGTAAATAAATATTGAGATGGGGATAAATAAACACATGCTAAGGTATAAGATACATGTCCCTGAACCAGACTTGTCAAAGAACGTATGTGGGACCCTGCCCCATAAATCCTGAATGTGTTAGGGAGGGGAAGGCCCAGACATCTGGATTCTAATAAGCTCCTCAGGTGACTGATGCAAACTGCAGTTTGAGTCATTACTTTGAAAGGGCCTGAGCTGTGTTCTGAACAGTGAAAACAAATAAGCACCAAACAAAACTTGACCTCAAAGACCAGTGACTGTTCGTGGGATGCAGGCTTGTTCCCCTTACCAGGGACACAGAGTCTGGGACAAAGTGGGACTGTTTACCTCAGAATTATGGATCTGGTTCCAAGCTAGGTCCTTCCAGCTTTCAGAGTTGTAGCTCATCCAAGGACAACAAAGCAAAGTGACTGTTATTTTCCACAGAAAGGTGGGCAGGGTTGGAGGGTAAAGACATATTTTTGCTTAAGAACTGAAAGCAAGACCATGGCCAGCAGGGATTTGAAAGTGCATCAGGTGAGCCTCTGTCTAAGAATGAACCTATTTCAGACTAAGTGCTGATGGAAGAGAAGAAAAAGGTGTTGGAAATGGACGGAGACTGGTCAACACTTGACCCTGCCATTTCCTAACTGTGTAGCTTCAAGCAGTTTAGCAAACCTCTCTGAGCTGTTTCATGGACTAATCAGAAGTTACTATTTGCAAGGTATAGGTAAGATTATATGAAATATTATGTATAAAGTACCTAACATTGGAACTGACAAGTACTCATTGCACAATTGATCAATGCAGAGAACACTAGAGTGAGAATGAGACACTGACTCCAGAAAACCAGAGAAGTGATTGAGAATAACTTTGGAGATAAAGTTTAAAACCTGTTTGTGTCACTTATTAGTTATATGATCTAGCAAGTTACTCATCCTACTTAATCTTTAGGTTTTTTTTTTAATGAGGAGTTATTAAAACTAAGCAAAGTAACACTGCAGAAAGCATTTAGCAAGCCCCAAACACATAGGAAGGCCATAAATATGGTGTTCTTGTTGCCTCTGTGAGAAGGGCTCTTGCCTGTGCCTGATTTGATGGGGCAAATGTGAAGACAGAGAGATTGCCATGTTCTGTGATTCCTGCTCAGCAGAAGCCAAGGCCCAGTTCTGGAATCTTCCACTACCAGGAGCCATTTGGAAAAGAACATTTTCTCTGGAGGTCTTTGCATTTTGGAGGTGGCTTTGTGTTCAGTATGCACAGTCCCAGAGCCTCCTCCATCTTGCTGACACTGTCAAAGCTGTTAAAGTGCTTTTGCCTCAGCATTCTGGATAACTTCTGAGTTTCTTCTTGTGCGTCTCTATTCTTATTCCTTTAACTTAGGAACAATGCTGTCCTTAAAAGCCTAAGTTTCTCATGGCAGGATTTATGTAGTTCCCAGGACTCAAAATACCAAAACCATTCCGTTCCCAAACAACATACTTGATATTTGCATTTTCTTTTGGCTAAAATAGGGGAGGGGAGGAGCATAGAATTGTGAACAGAAAAACAAAAATCCATCCTAAACTTGCCGTTCAGAGCTGAGTCAGACCAGATAAAAATTGAACACCAAAGCTAGGCTGGCTTGGAATCTCCAATGATTCATTATTTTAGTAATAATAACTCCTCTTAAATGTCATTTATCCTCCTTTTCCTTCTTTCTGGTTTAATGTGGAGAAGACCAGAGGCTGTTCCATTCAGGACTGGGCCTTTTATAATTATTTCACATTGCATAACTAAGTGACAAAGCTTGGGAGAGAGCTGGGTCCCAGCACAGTGGTAATTACATTTTGTCTGATGGCAATTTTAAACACGTGTTACTAAAAGGAGGATTTACACACACGCATGTGCACACTCACATGCACACACACACACACACACACACACACACACACACACACAAGGCAAGATGCTCTCTGTTGGCATTTTCCAACCTGAAGCAAGAGAGATGGATGGTGAGCTAGGGGTATCTTCTCTTTTCTCCCCAGCGGGTGAGACTTACTGGCGGTAGCTGTAGGCTATGTCAGCAAACTGCTTCCGTCGTGCTCGGTACACAGGATCTTTAAAACCCTAGGAGAGAGGAGTCACTTGATGACTCAAGGCTTGGGGGAGAGGCCAGGAGTTCTTGAGCTATGACTGCATGTGTCTCCTTCCCCTAATTATACCCTAAAAATAAAGTCTCAGTTAAACTCACGGCAAGCTCTCTCACCACATTGTGAGTGACACATTCCCAGCGGCACCTTCAATTCATTGGGATTCCAACGTCTATAGGTACACTCTAGTCTTTAAAAAAATCTACAGTGTTTCCAACTTCTAAACCTGCCGAGTTAGGCAAAGCGAGTAGGATAGGTGTCCATGATGAGGACTTAACAATATCCCCTTACATCCAATGGTGTGTGTCTTGCAATGCATCCTAACTTCTTTTTTTTTTTCATTTTATAGCATAAGGGGCTGGAAGAGTGGCTCAAGTGGTAGAAAGCCTGCCTAGCAAATGTGAGGCCCTGAGTTCAAACCCCAGCACTGCAATAAATAAATAAATAAACACAAATAAAAAGGACATTTCATTAGCATATATATTCATTGTGTAGGGGGGATTCATTGTGACAATTCTGAATAGTCTTTCATTGTACATTGGTTAGATCACCCCCACTAACCACCCCCTGCAACCTGCAACTCCCTCCACACCCCACTTAAAGCAATTGCAAGAACTTTAATCATTTCATTTCATATATATATATACAGCCCACCAACCATATTCCTTCACCTTCATCTCCTTCAACCCCCTACCCATCCCACAAGGACCACACACACGGTACCTATTTTACAGTCCTATCTTTCCTTTTTAATTCCAAAGTCAATGTACAAAGGGGTTTTTCAATGTGTCTCAGCTGCGATACTTAACTTTTGCCAGTCCAACCCCCTCTGTTACTCTGCCTTACCCCTTCCCTCCCAAACCCCCATTATTCAACAGTTTTTGTTACATATTATTAAATCCTCTACCTGCACAGATGTAATGCATTTCAATATTGTTGGTGCTCTATCATTCTCTTTTCCTCTCCCTCCTCCCCTGAGTTCCATAGAGTAGTTCCACTATTACAAACATATTCTACATCTAAGTTTGCTCATGATCAAATTTGTTTTTATGCATGCATTTATCTTTTGGATCTATCTTCCACATATGAGAGAAAGCATGTGGCCTTTGTCTTTCTGAGCCTGGCTTATTTAACATGATGTCCTTCAGTTCTATCCATTTACCTTCACACCACACAGTTTCATTCTTCCTTATGGCTGAATAACCCTCCATTGTACATATGTGTACATTTTCTTAATCCATTCATCAGCTGTAGGGCATCTGGGTTGTTTCCATGGCTTGGCTATTGTGAACAGTGTTGCAATAAACTGAGTGTTCAAGTGTCTCTATTGTATCCTGACTTACATTACTTCAGGTATATGCCAAGGAGAGGTATCGTTAGATCATGTGGCAGTTCTATTTTTAGTTTTTTAAAGACTCTCCATATTGCTTTTTGTAATTGTATTAATTTATATTCCCACCAACAATATATAAGGATCCCTGTTTTGCCACGTCCTCAACAATGTTTGTGATTGTTTGTGCTCTTGAAGACAGCCTTCCTAACTGGGGTGAGATGAAATCTTGGGGAAGTTTTGACTTGCATTTTTTTATGTCCAAGGAAGTTGAGCACTTCTTCATGTATTTGTTGGCCATTTGTACCTCTTCCTTTGAAAATTGCCTATTCAATTCATGTGCCTGTTTCTTCATTGGGATGTTGATTCTTTGAGGGTTAAGGTTTTTGAGTTCCTGTAGATTCTGGTTTTTAGGCGCTTATTAGATGAATACCTGGCAAAGATTTTCTCCCATTCTGTGAGCAGTCTGTTGATACTAGTGACTGTTTCTTTGGCTGTGTAGAAGCTTTTTAGTTTGATGCAGTGTCATTTGTTCATCCTTTCTATAATTTGTTGAACCATTGGCATTCTATCTAAGAAGTTGTTGCCTATACCTCTATGTTCCAGTGTATTTCCTATTACTTCCTGTAGTTGTTTCAAAGTTTCAGGTCTTATTTTAAGGCCCTTATTCCACTTTTGAGCTGATATTTGTACAGGGTAAGAGACAGGAATCTAGTTATAGTTTTCTGCATGATAGACAAATGGGTGTATGCTTACTAGTATGGTAATTTTTTTGGTTATTTGTTGCTGTTGTTTAAGACAGGGTCTTGCTATGTAGCCCACGCTGGCCTCAAACTCATTATGTACCCCAGGCTGGAAGTTGTAATCCTCCTGCCTCAACCTCCAGAGTGCTGGGACTATAGGTATGTGCCATAACACTTGGTCATGCAATGATTATTTTAAATATCATTTGTTGGGTGCCTACCATATACCAGTGTGTGTCTCTGTGTATATATGTGTGTGTGTGCTAGGTAAACATTTTATTTATTACTCTTACAATAAGCTTGTCAGGTAGACCAGCATGACTTTTTCCTTCTTTCCAGAATAAATAGCAGTTCAGAGAAATGGCCTTGCAGTAAAGGGGAAGCCAGGATCTGGATCACTCAGTTCTTTGCTTTTTTTACGACACTTCAGTAACTGTCAACCTTTATGACCTGGCAGGGGTTCAACCAACCGAGAAATCCATCCCAGGACATAAAAGGATGATAATAGTTTCTGACTGGCTGACTGGCAGGCAGCTTCTTCCCAATAACCCCAAATAGCCTATTTCAAAATAAAAAAGAGGCCAAGTGTGTCTCTGAGTGCTTGGGGCAGGGTGGGGTACATCCTGAGTTTGAAGTGATCCCAATTGATGAAAAGGATATTTTCCAAAATAATAAGTTGATTGTGATTTGAATTTTTGTGACACAAGAGCCTGGTACATCACTGCAGAGTTCTGCCTTGTTTCCTCTAAGTGTTTCCCAGCAAACCCAAGCATCTACCACCTCGGCTGAGATTTCTCTGTCCCTCCATCCCTCCAGATCATGGCATTAATAAATCAAAACCATGGAGTGCATGGAGAAGTTTTTTCTCCTTTGTTTTTCGAGTTAGTCTCAGGCTGGCCTTGAACTTGTGATCCTCCGCCTCAGCCTCCTCAGTGCTGGGATTTCAGGAATATGACACTGTACCTGGCTTTAGGTACCCAAGAACTTGGAATTACTATCAGGATCGCTTATGTTCACTGAGGATAAATAGGTTGGGGATGATACAATAAGAAAATTTGGTAGCATGATTTTATTTCTAAGCAGCACCAACATTCCTTCTTAAGAATCTGTCAGTTGAACTAAATGAAGAACAACTATTTATCTACATCTTCACATAAGTTTAAAAGGGAAATTTAATTGAATATTTATCATCCTTACTTGCTAGTCTTAACAGACAATAGAGAATGACTTTCTCCAGCCTCTAAATACAAAATGAAGACTTTTGCACCTGAAGGCATCTTGGATGTCTATTTCTATATTTTAGACTAGATATGTGGACAGTGAAGCCCACTGGGCCATTTGTTGAAGGGTCCTTAACTGTAGAACCAGCACCTTCACTGAGGCTTTCTGATTCGAAATTGTATATGTAGTCCCAATCATCTAAGTCAGTGGGAATACGTAAGTACATAAGTGAAATGCTGGAAGAAATACACCAAACTCTGACAAATGTTACCTATAGGTAGTGGGGGAAATAGGTGATTGTAATGGTTTTATCCTTCTATACTATTTAAGCTTTTGAAGTTTTCTACTGTGAGTGTGGATTTCTTTTATACTTTGGGAAAAAAGAAACGTAATATTTAAAATCTGTCTCCAATCATTTTGAGGAAGTGGCACAAGATTCACACACTGAAAAATGTGAGCACATATATATAACATAGTCTGTAGACTTTCCATATGGGAAAGTTCCTAACCATGGTCTTTTCCAGCTCTGTGTTTCCCAGAAGTTCATTATCAGCCTGTAAGGAGTCCCAACCAACCAGATTGTGGGGACTTTGGCTCTCTCAGTTGCCAGTGTTCAGAGAGATCTGTGGCCTTAAAGCCCAGCCTTGCATCTTTTTGGTTGCCAGGTGACCACAGGCCATCCACATAAACGCATTCTGAATTAAGCTGCAGTTGGTGATGACTGATCACCCTGTCTCAATTAAGCTAATCGCAGTAATTTTGGTTGCACTGCATGTAACCAAGTCTGTTTTGACAGGAAAATATATTGCTGGTGAAAAAATGGTGAGAGAAGTGGGCAGGGAGGAGGAGAAGAGGGGAAAATTAGGGAGAATTCTATAAGATACAAAATTATAACAGTACCCAAGTCTATATGCAATCTCTTTTCTTAAGCTCAGAAGTTTTCTTATTTTGGGGTGCTGATGGTGTGTGGTTTTTGTAGGAGGAGTTATGGAGAGAGGGTAACTATATAAAAAAAGTCTACTGAAAATTCTTCTAGACAGAGATACTTTGTTCATCATTTCTTGATATTGTAGGTGAGATTAAACCTCAGAAATGCCATCTACAGGCTAGCAAGAAGAGCACAGGTTTTAAAGTCAGATCACTGGCTGCAATACTAACTCATCCATTCACTAGGAGCATGACCTTGTGTTGGGCACTTTACCCCTTAGTGCTCAGTGCCTCATCAGGAAAATGAGATTGTTAATCATACCTACTTCACAGAGGCATGTGCCTGGAATTAGGCAATTATGTAGGGTGTCAGGTAAAGTTCGAACACATACAGCTACTCAGAAAATGATGTGTTCATGCAAAATGGTGGGAATGCAAAAGCTGAGGCGTCTTGCTCAGATCATAAGGAGGATATACTCTGGAATGGGCCAGTGAGTCTCAGCACCAACACTTGGGCCTTTTAAACACCATCTTACCTTGCTGCTTGTGTTTCATTTAGGAAACTAACAAGAAGCTTTTAGCATTCTCTAAGTCCCATGCCAGCTGGGGCTGGGGGGTACATTATACAGGAGACCAGAGGTTCAAACTGGCATTCATTAAGTACTTATCATGCCTCTCCCACAGACATTGGCCAGAGAAGATTTGCAAACCACTAACTGAGGGGACGCCTCTTCCCTAGTTCCCTCTGTTTCTGGC